ATCGGTTATTTATTATTATTGTCCTATTTAACCGATTGTTTGATTTTACAGCTTTAAATGCATGATAATATACTAAAATTGATAAAATGATTCAGCTGTGTTTTCTTGATGCATATATTTATTTGTCTTGTGTTGATTTACAGTTAAATTGTAAAACTAAAAATTAAATGTAAACAGAAAATTGATTGGTTAAGTGGATGAATGAATGGTAGCCTTACTGGATATACTGAGAGATGATGGACGGACCGGGTATATAGAGAACCCAACCATCAACGTCGCCTCATATCGGACGGGGTATCAAGAATTGGTATTTTTGGCGCTCATACTGAACGGGGTGTGGGGACGACCTGTTTCATCCTCATACTGGACGAGATATTGAGGGATGATATTTTTAGTGCTCATACCGGACGGGGTATGGGGACGGCCGGTTAGTTGATAAAATTGGATGTTAGTTCACACGTAGTAGGATATCCCTATGGACCCCCATGGATACTAGTAGACAAATAAAAATAGAAAGTTATTATTCCTGCTTACTTGAATATCTCTTCAAAAGATAGTGAATGTCGTCCTAAAATGCTCAGTTGTCTACTTTTTGTTTATTTCTTTAATTTTCGTTTATTATTTTAGAATGAACATTCTCGTATCTTTATTGGGTATTTAAAACTATTATGTAAGGAATGTAAACTCTTACTCTATTATTTCGCTTCTGCATTCAATTTATGATTTTATTTCCTTTTAAACTCACGGACTGTTACAATGCAAGTTTAGGTTCATATTTTATATGGTCGTATCATGTTTGAGTATGGTAAAGTTCGTGCTAATATCATCTTTAACTTAGTAATATTATTTCGAAGATTTTAGTAAATCTTTATTAGCTAATTATATGATAACCAAACAACAATTTATTAACTAGAGTCAATTTATTCCTTTTTTTTGTCTTTTTGTAATAATTGACTCTATTTCCTAATACAATTTTTTATTAATTTATAAAGACAAAGTAGCCTATGGTTTACATGGACTTCTCTTTTTAAGTACAAAAATTGACTCCAACTCCTTTTCACTTTAATGTAGTATCATTAACAAAAAAATCCCAAATAGGAAATCAAAAGTTGAGTTTTTTGCACATGTTTGTAATAAATTTAAAAAATTTGTAACATTTATTACAATTTAATTTTTATTTTATTTATTTATTTATTTTTCTTCTATGATTTATTTATGCTAGAACTCAAAAATCTTATTATGATTATATTCAAGAGAAAAATCTTAAACAAAGTATGAGAACCAAAGACAAAAATTAGACGAGAATAAGAGACTTTGAAATAATTTAGAGAAGTAAAATCAAACCCTAAGTACTTCTTTCCATACACTTACTAGGTATAGTAGTTAATTTTACAAAACACAAATTAATGTATTCTTTTTTTAAACATAGATAAACTTTTTTATTTTTATTAAATGAAAATTATTGTTATAATTGATTGTTTTCTATATATACTTTGAGTTTCAAATGTGAATTATGGGTGACGATAATGTTAAATTGTGTTAAGGATGATCATGATTATTATTAACTCAAGTATTTTACGATAACTTAAAAAAATATAGTAGATTGAATTTTTAAAGTCTAACAACTTAAATAAGAAAAAATTAAGTATTAAAAAATAAATTGATGAAGAAATCTCAAATTCGTTCACACAATGTTGTTAAATGCAATAAACGAAATAAAGAAAGAGAAAATATTAGAAATTCAATTTTATCGTGACTTTGCCCTGCCTACTTTACTCTCTTAAGTAATCAATTTGCGAGTTCTACAATCTTATTTGATTTCTCTTTACAAGTTACTTAATAAAATGTCTAGCTTACCACACAATGTATTTATTTTTCTACACTTAAAAGTTCATCTAAAAAATTTACTCTATCTCTCTTCCTAACTAAAAAGAATGTATGAACCAATTTCAAAGTTCATCTTTATAAAAGTATATACTCAAGAAGAAATTTCTTTTGAAATTTGAAATTCGGGTTTTTTTTAATAAAAAAACATGATAAATGTTTCGTATTCTTTAATAATATTTTGTTTAAAAGTAAGAAAATAAATTGTATATGAAGTTTAAACAAATATCTTAATCGTTACTCATTCGTTAAAGAAATTCTTCATAAAATAGTGGAAGAAATTTAATACATCTCTAATATTTAAATATATATATATATATTTGTGTAGTGTGTTGCACATTTGCAATATATATTTGATAATTTTGTTTTTTTTTCAATATATTTGCTTCAACTCTTTATGTATGAGTACATTTTAAAAACATAACTTTAAATATCATTTTCAAAGAATTTTTGAAAACCAAATTCAATTAAAAAACTATTTCTGAGATATTAAGTTATTTAAAATTATTTTAAGAATTTCTAAATATATAATTTTGAGATTTTTTTCTCTCAAATTTATTTTTGGTGAAAAATTACAATACAAATAGAGTGATAAATCTTTAACTTTTAATCTTAAATGTCTTATTTCACTTTTTTTTTTATTTAGACTTCATAAAATATTTATGAGACTCCATTTCTTTTAACTTTTCAAAATCTTTGTTTGCTCTTAATTATTCCAAGTTTCTTATTTTTTATAAAAATATTCTTGAAATATCGATATATTATGAACATAACTTTAACCTTATTTTATATAAAAAATTAATTCAAAAACTTATACAAGCTAATTAAACATTATTAACATAATGTATTAAGTGTTTGCTACTTATTAAAATTAATACCCTACTCTCAACAATCATGAAAAAGACCATCAAGACATCAAGAAAGCCATATAATTTAAATAATAAAATCTAAAGAAAGCATAATAATACTCAAAGTGATAATTCTTGAGGATGGTAAAAGAAAAGGTAATAATACGACTTTATAATTGAAGCTTAGTAGTTTATGTTTATAAATATGTAAACTCATTCAAATTGTGTTTTTGTATAATTTTAAAGTAAAATCATAATCTCTATACTAATTTTTTATACGAAGTGCGTGTCTTTTGTTTAATATTTAAAAAAGTACGTCATATATATTTTAAGTCCAAACAAAATTAACTCAATATATATTTGAAAGGGGTTTATTGACTAATTATTATATTGTTTGTCTAAATAAAAAGATTTATATTTAAATATAAATTTTTTAAAAAGAGTTAAATTGAATCTTAAAAAAAAAAGAGTTTAAAAAAAATTTATTATTTTATAAATATATTATAAATTAACAATAATTATAATATTTAATATAATAAAATAAAAAATTTAATTTAATAATATATTAATAAAATTAAATAATTAAATTAAATTTAATCTTAACGAATCTATTAATTTTTTAATCGATAAAGATATTATAAGATGGCTACTGACTCAGTATTAATTTCTCAAAAAAAAAAAAAAAAGAGAATTACTTTGAAGTGGAGGTTTTTTATTTTAAATTACACTTTAGTCCCTATGCTTATCGCAAATCACTCTCCTGCCCATGCTGTATCTTGTCCGTCGCCGGTCTCAACGCACTCCGCTTGCCGTGCTCAGCTTCCTGATACCATCCTTGTCGGCCGAATGAGTCCAATCCAGGTCTGGGGACTACACTAGAGAAGGAAGAACAGAAGAGGAAGATAAAGGAGAACGGGAAATCGTGATTGGAGGAATTTATTGTTTCGAAGTCGCAAAAACCAACGGAATTCCAATACAGAGATTCTGGATTCGAAACTCAGTCTGTTTTGAGTATTTCATTTGCTTCCATGGCTTCCATTTCTCAGTCAATCAATCCCAACAAGCACCTCAAAGAACAGTTGATATATTTGCCTCTCATTTCTCTTTTTTTTTGTTCCAAAAAGTTTTCTTGTCATTTATTTGAACATGATTTTGTTTTTCTGCTTTTATTTCAATTCTCAGGTTTGTTAGCAATTTGAATGGATCATCTATGGTAGAAATCGCAGCGCTCTTGACAATTACTCCCGTATGTTGCTTAGATTTTCCATGTCTCTCTTCGATTTTTTTCTCCCTTTTTTAGCTTTTGATTTTAGTCATCTCATTGTTGATTTGTTGTTCTTCAGATTCTAGTGTTCCTGCGTCACTTCATCAGCTCCAGCAAAGTAACTGGTGAGGTCACTAATTCCATCTAGCGTCTAAATTTTTTCTCCTTCACCAAATTAAAAGTTATAAGCTGCTTGTGGATACTGCTTTTAGTT